CAAATTGGGGGTCCTGACTCAAAAGGGCATTGCAGAGAGGTCACAAGGTTATTTTAGTGGGGGTCACAGTATTGTCAAACTTACTTCTGCACTGCCTTCAGATCTGGGCAGCTGGTGAGCAGAAGCTATTAGCTTGGCACCCAGCTCTGAAGGCAGAGCCCTGCCATCAGCAGCCCAGAAGTACGGGGGCAGTACCATGCCATCCACCCTTACTTCTGCACCATCCTTACTTCTGCACTGCTGCTGGCGGCAATGCTGCCTTCAGAGCTGGGCTCCCGGCCAGCAGCTGCCCCTCTCCAGCTGCCCAGCTCTGAAGGCAACACCGCCACCATTAGCAGTGCAGAAGTAAGAGTAGCAGTACCGCAACCACCCCTCCCACAACTCCTTTTTGGGCCAGGGCCCCTACAATTACAACACCGTGAAATTTCAGACTTAAATAGCTGAAATCATGAAATTTACGATTTTTAAAATCCTAGGACCGTGAAATTGACCAACATGGACCGTGAATTTGGTAGGGCCATACCTGTAGGCTGTTAATTACCCCACCGCTGCACAAGCTATTGCAAAGAGCTTGAATACTTTTGGGGGTGGATTTTGATGATAGTGCATTTATCACTGACAATCCATCCTACACGTCTAAAGCTTACCTTCAAGCGCTTCAGGGATTCCTGCCTAATTCATTTATTTTACCTTTAGCCTTCACATAGCAGCTAGCCCTGGCTAGTGACATCTGGAGGCCCAACTTCCCAGACATTTAAGAAGCTAACAGGCAAAAGTTTTTAAAAACCGTCTCAGCAGAAAATTGCATTTTAAAGAACATCCACAAAGGGCAGTGCAGGCCGTGGGTTCAAATCTTCCTCTGAAATCACCCTCTGAACCATCCCAGCAGAGCTCAGTCCTCATTGAATAGATAGTAGTCCTGCCTTACCAATCCGAGCCTCCAGCGGGAATGCTAGCTCTAGTGTATAGCGCGCTGTGAAAGCGTGGCTAGAGCTGCAGGTCGCCGCGCTGCGTGTTTCCAAAATCACGCCATGCCACGCCAGGCAAGCAGCCGTTGCCCTTGTGGAATGTGATCTATTGCTCTGACCGGGGGATTTCTAGGTTTGTTTGTAGGTTTCTTCTTTGCACAACGGATAAGCCCCTTTGGTCACCCTATGCGTGTCTGACAGCAAATGTGAAAAATCTAGCCGGGGGTGAGGGGGTAATAGGAGCCTATATAAGAAAAAGACCCAAAAATCGGGACTGTCCGTATAATATTGGGACATCTGGTCACCCTAGATACGCATAACGACTGGATGTCGGGAATCAGGGCCTGCAGCAGAGGCAGTTTCCAGGCAAGGGTGCTGGAGCCTTCCCAAAAGCGGGGTGGGCCCTGCCCCCTGAGGCCCCGCCCCACCCCTCCTCTTCCTCTGGAGACCCCAGGGCAGGTGGAGGGACCCGGGCTCCCCCCAACCTGGCTCCGGCCAGGGACCCTCAGCCCAGCCATAAGAGCCATGCGGGCAGCGGTGGGGAATCACGGCGGACCCTCCACCTGCCTGCGGTGCGGGGGATCCAAGAGCAGCCCCCGGACCCCCCCGCCCAGGGCAAGTGGAGGGTCCACGGCTCCTGCGCAGCTCTTACCATGGCCAGACTGCAGCTCCAAGGGCCCTCCAGCCAGAGCCGGGTCGGTTTCAGAGCCACGCAAGCAGCTGTCGTCGCCCGGCATGGAGTCGCGGCCCTTCCACCTGCTCAGGGTGGGACACGGGCTGGGGACTGCTTCCAGTCCCTCCGCACCGCAGGCAGGTGGAGGGTCCGTGCGGCTGGCCTGGTTGGAGGGTGGGGCCTTGGGGGGAAGAGGAGGGGAAGGGGGTGGGGTCCACCCCGGGCAAAAATTGGACAGCCCACATCCATCCACTTTCAAAAAGCGGGAGGGCTATGGCTCCCCCTGGCCTCTCTGGTTCCGGCACCACTGTCTCCCGGCTACTTAAGGAGCACTGCGGGCCTATAGTTGGCTCCAGTGTCTGATTGGTTGGAAGAGTCACCAGAGCAGCTCTCAAACCCAGTGGCTGCTCCAAGCACTCACCCACGGCTGCAACAGCTCCTCTGCTTGCTTGTTCCCAGCCACGCTCCTGCTGTGCCTCGCCGCAAGTAACCTGGTCCTGATCCTCGGCTCCGATTCCTGACTCCTGGCTTCAGCGCTGACCCTTGGCTCTGGCATCAGCTGTGACTCCTCGGCTCAGAGTCCTGCTCTGACCACTAGGCACGACCGCCCACGTGCCGGTCCCTGATGCCGGGAAACTCTGGGAGGGGATTCTCTTTTACTTTCCCAGTGGAGAAGTGGGATAACCTGAGCCCTCAGTTTTCCTTAGACCCTTGACGTTTTTCCCCTGAGGATCCCTGACCAGCGGTGCTTTCAAATCCATGTACAGACCCACCTCTGGAGCTGACGGATGTACTTGGGTCACCGCTGGAAAGGGGGAAGCGGACAGTGCCAGGGAGTCTGAAGTTGTCTCCAGCCTCTTTTTCGGCCACCATTTTTGGAACCGATATGCTTGTTCCATTTGGGGTATGACCCTCCGTTGGGGCTTTGCTATCCCAGACCCTTTGGTTTGGGGGAAGAAGGAGGTTTCACCCATGGGATCTGAGGGTGCCCAGGTGTGCAGATGGGCTCTGCTAACAGAGGCCGCCCCCTGCAGGCTCCTGCCATGCTAAGCAATCAGCGCTGATGGCTGCGGATCCAGCAGTACCATGATCTTGGCCTTTTCCCTGCTAACGGAGCTCGGTACCTCGCGTGATCTCTTGCACTGTTTTTTAGCTCCCGAAGGAGCTGGGCAGTGCTGAAGAACGTGAGAGAAGCTCTCACATGCACAGGGGCAGCTTTAATAGGCTAAAGGACAGGAGTACTTGGGGCACCTTAGAGACTAACAAATTTATTTGAGCATAAGCTTTCGTGGACTACAGCCCACTTCTTCGGGTGCATGCAGTGGAAAATACAGTACAAAGTTATATATATATATATATATATA